TCAGAGTCGTCCTTCCTCTTGCATCCCAAATCATTCCCACCCTTCCAATCACCACCTCAAAACAAGTTCTCAACTTATCCAATTCCACATCCTTCTTCAACCTATCATCAACCCCCTCCACCATCCCAACAATAACATTATGACCACCATGATTCTACTTCAAATTATCAATAGTTCCAGCTAGAGGCCTTATATCTGTTCAAGAGACCTAACACTGGACAAATCTCAATGCTTGAAGAAACCTCCTCACTATACTATCATCCAATCTTGTCGAACTGTCAATGATATTATATTAGACCATCAAGTGATTATACTATCATCCAATCTTGCCTGACTGTCAATGATATTAGACCGTCAAGTGATGACAAGGTCAAGGTCCACTCTACCATCTTCTACAGTTGAACAGTGGTATTTTCTTTTTTATGTTCCATGATAGAGAAGATGCAGATTAGGTGCTTCGGTTTGGAAAGGAACATATTCGGAGCCCCGAAGTTAGTTTAAGCAATTGGTTCCCTACAGTTAGGACAATAAGGAGACCGAGAGGTTGTAGACCAATTTGAATTGGTGTCTATGGATCCCTTTAAAAGATTGGTTTGCAGAAATATTTAACGAGGTGGAAAGACAGTGTAAGATTTCTTAGAATCAATGATCAAAACAGGGCATGGGAGAAAATAAAATTAATAACAAAACAATCATATTTTCCTTCATTTTACAATATAATATTTTCAAAATAAAAAAAAATAGATTTTAACAGAAACTTTACTGTTAACAGAAAATTAAGTTTAAAAAATTATGCAATTCAATTAGCAATAAATTATAAGCTTAATGTACAGTTAAATTAATTAATAAAATAAATTGATGGTAAATTATTAACAAAAAAAAAATATTGTTAGTTAAAATTAAATTATTAACAGAACTTTTTTATTAATTTACTGTTAGTTAACAATAAGCTAAATGTTTTAGTTTCGGAATTAAATCAATGGATTAGCTGAACACTCCTACTAATATATACTCAAATTAAAGTTAAATGAAAAGTAAAGAGAAAATAAACAAAAAATTAATATAAATTATTAGCAATTAAAAAATTAATATATGTAATGATTATATTTCGTTTAGTCCTTTCTAACATCAAATTGAACAATGGGTTTTTCCTTACATCGCACAAGGCCCCATTATTTTTCTTTATTTTTGAGTCATAATCATTTTAACTTTGTTCTATATATCGAAGTTGCAGATTAATACAAGTTGTAAAATGCATTGTTATAGAATAGAGTGTTCCCTAGGTATGCCCATACTTTATCATGGTTTTTCTTTTTTTTGTAAGCGAAGAGATCCATTGCAAAAACATCAAAACTAAGGATACAAAAGAAGACCCCTCATGCTGAGATACGAGCTAATTCTCGGGGGGAGGGGTCTAAGGGTTAGAAAATAAGTTTTATTTACATTGGTCCTTTTTACTATGTCATGGGCTAGGCCTACATCATTCTTGTTTACATACATAATTTTAAGTTCTACAAAAAAAGAGATAAGGAATTTGATATGCTTGAACAACGTCTGTTCATTCCACCTTGTGTTTCCCCTAGTTTCTCTCAGTTTTTGCATGATCTCCTTCACATCCAACAAAATGAAAGCATGATTGATACCCAATAAAATAAGTCTTTTCAGGCCTCTAATGATTGCCAAGAGGTTAGCTTCTAAGGAGTTAATGGCATTGCATTGTTGTCCTTCTACAAAGCAAACATTGTATGTGTAAGAGACTATATATAAACCTATGAAGGCTGAATTCATTGTTGGATCCCAGGATCCATCAACTATTGCTATCAAGTGAGTCGCGATGTGTAAATTGTGGGTAGGTATGACATTTTGTTCATGTTGGAAGTGAGACTGAGACCAGTTTTGAACTTCTGTTTCTGGGACATAAACATTGGCTTTCCTTATGACTTCAAGGGGGTTCGGGGACTTTCCTTTGAAGATCACTTCATTTCTATGATCCCAAATGGCCCTCAAGAAGGCTAGCAGCCTAGCCAAGAAGAAATCAGAGAGATTTTTCTTCTCAGGGTTCCTTTCAAGCCACCATAATAGGAAGCCTGGTGTTCTTGAGAGTGTGAAGGCTTCTGAGTTAAAACCAATTTGCGCTGACAACTAAACTATCCTTGCTAGAGAACATTCGAAGAAGAGGTTTGCCTGTGCTTCTGGTGCATTACCACAGAGAACACAGGAGTGGTCCCCTAAGTGTCTTAGGAACCAAGTGGATTGCTTCGTCTCAACTCCACTCATTAGGACTTTCCATCCAAAGACTTGACATCGAAGGGGTGCTTTTGTGGTCCATAGCTTTGACCACTTAATTTGTTTTTGAGAGGGGCCCATGGTTTTAGTGCTTGAGAAGCTTCTGTAAGTTGATCGAACCGAATACTCCCCATCCTTGGTTCTTTTCCAAAGAAGCTTGTCCTCTTGACATTGGGGGGGTCAGGGTATGTTTAGAATAACCTCGGCTAACAAGTCTGTAAAGACATGGTATAAGAGTTGGGAATTCCAAACCCCATGAGAGGTGATAAAGTCTTTTACCATCCAATCTCTACCACTGGGATCTCGCACTTGTCCGGGTTGTGGTTTGTTGGAGGAAAGACTCAGGATCCAAGGATCATTATGAGTGTTTATTTGGGCTCCATCCCCTACTTTCCGAAAAAGATGGGGGCTGAGACTATTCCTGATACTTAGGATGTTCCATCACCAATAAGAGTGAGATGTCCCTAGTTTGACTTCAAAGATGGACTTATTTTGTAGGTATTTCGCTTGAATTTGTTCCTTCCAAAGGCTTCGCTCTCCTGTTAATAGCCACCAGAGTTGTTTTGCAAAAAGAGCCTTGTTTATTGGTTCTGATTTCCTAAGGCCTAGCGCCCCCCCCCCCTCTAATTTCGGCTTACAGATCCTACTCCAAGGGATATTGTGGCCCCCTTGTCTACTTGTTTCACCTTGCCACAAGAAGTTTCATTGGAGTTGGTCTAGTCTCTTCAGAGTCTTCTTTACGAATAACGAGGTGGACATTTGGTAGACTGGTATATTCTGAGTGACTACTTTTAGCATGGTAGTTCTGCCTGTTTGAGAGAGCAATTTTACTTTCCAAGTGTCCATTTGACTTTCTGCTTTTGTGAGAATTTCTGCATGAGATCCAGTATTTCCTCTACTTCATCCATCCAGGCACCCAGGTACTTCATTCTAGGTTGCATTAGTTTTATACCTACCAGGTGGCCCATGAGCCTCTGATGAGTTCTATGTGTGTTCCTGCTGAAAATAATGCCTAACTTATTGAAGTTTATCCGTTGGCCGGCTATTTGTTCAAATTGGATAAGGGCTGATTTGATTGCAATGAGGGATTTTGGAGTAGCCTTACTAACAATGAGGCAATCATCAACAAACAAGAGATGGGAGAGGGGTTCTGAATGCCTAGCTAACTTTATGCCGTGCAGCCTGCCTTCTGTAGCCTCCTTCTCCAAAAGTTTTGTTAACACCTGCATACCAATTATAAATAGATAGGGTGATAGGGGGTCTCCTTGCCGGAGTCCCCTGTTAGTATGAAATAATTTAAGAGGACTCCCGTTTAGTTTTATTGAGAAGGTGACAGTGGAAATGCATTGTTTGATTAGATTGCACCATTTCTCTGGAAATCCTAGCTTCCTTAGGGTTTGGGTGATGAATTCCCACCTCATTCTATCAAAGGCTTTTGCCATGTCAATTTTTAACACTTCCCATCTAGTTTTCCCCTTCTGGTGTTTAATTTTGTCAGTTATCTCCTTTGCTAGGATTATAGTGTCTACAGTGTTTCTGCACTTGATGAGCGTGATTTGGGGTGATTATCTTGGGTACTAAAGGTTTGAGCCTGTTGGCCATTACTTTTGCTAACACTCTGTAGACCACATTGCAAAGACTGATTGGCCGGTAATGATCTACTGATTCTGCTCACACTTTTTTAGGTATGAAGAGATGGGTGTGATTTAGCTCTTTAAGCAGGTGTTGGCTATTACAATGAGTTGAGTTAGGTCTCGGCCTAGTATATGCAAGTATTTTTGGAAGAAAAAAGGGGTGAAACCATCGGGACCAGTGCCTTGTGAGGATTCATTTGAAAGAGAGTTGTTTTGACTTCTTCCTCCGTTGGTGTGCGAATAAGCTAATCTCCTTCTGATGCTGAGGTGACAGGTTAGATCAGCTCATCCAAAGAGTTTGGATTGAAATCCTCTATTTGCCCACTTATCTTGAGGGTGTGTTCTTGGAAAGCCTTCCCTATCTGATCTTCCCCTGAAACCCATGATTGGGGACCTATTTTTATCCATTCAATGTTATTCCATCTTCTCCTATGTTTTATTTGGAGATGGAAGTAACAGGTGTTTCTGTCACATTCCTTGAGCCATAGCTCTCTAGACTTAAGCCTCCATAGCTCTTCTTCATAGGCTAACCAACAGTTATATTGACTCTCTAGACCTCTGAGTTCTCCTTGTAAGGTACCAGATTGGTCTTGCTGCAGTAGGAGAATCTGCTCTTCTAGGTTCCTCACCTTTTGGGAAATGTCACCAAAAATTGATTTGTTCCAGGATTTTAGCTCGCCTTTGATGAACTTTAGTATTTTTGCAATTTTGAAAGTTGTAGAACCAGGGGGTTGTTTGTTCTAATTCCTAGCTATGATTTCTTCACAAGCTTCACGGTCTGAACACCAATCAGAGCTTTCTAACTTGTCCAAAGATTCCAGACTTGAGAAGGATTCTGCTTGAGCCCCATTTTTGGTTTGGGCTAAACTGGTTCAAACCCACCCGATTTGGGCTGACCCGATTTGGACTAAACTGGCTCGAACATCCTTCCTGGTTGAGGTTCTGATCTCGGGTCAAAGCACGCATATAGGTTGGGTCCGACAATGGGGCCATATCCAACTGTTGAGCTGGTTGAAAGCTTATCATCGACTGGGGAGAAAACACGATTTCTGAGGGTTTCATTGGGATTTGACTCTGCAGGTGGTCCTTCAGGGATATTTTAGTTTGAAAGGGCGCCCTCTTCTTTTTGTGCCTATTTCCGTATTCATCAACCCTAAACTACCCGAAAGAGTAGAGTAGATACAAACTATCTTCCTTGCCGACTTGTGGTTTCTGCAGTTTTGTTTTGTCTTTTGCTGAGTGCTTAATTGACTGTGGTTCACCTTGGATCAGCTTCTGTTTCTTGTCCGCACCATTGTCCTCCTCTGAATCCTCATCCAAACTACAATCTCGACGTACCAGAGCCAGTTGCTTGCATGGAGAGAATCCCTTTTTCAGCTCCGGGTACTTGAAGGGTTTTTCCAGCTTGAGTTCTGCCTTGAGCCAGTCTCCTGGAGAGTCCAGGCTCCGTGCCTCCAGCTCCATTTGGATCTATTCCATCGAGAGTTCTGGCAAGGTCTGCCAACATTTCCGCCAGGAGTGTCCAACTAAACCGTAGTAAGAACAAAGCTTTGTTAAACCTTCGTAACCGAAACGGACCCAAATCGGCTCCATTCCGTTGTTCAGTACCAAACCCCTGAAGAGGGGTTTCCTAAGATCTAGCTCCACCCGAATGCGAACCATCTTTCCTCTTGACGGAGTGCCATTTTTATTTCTTCGCTTTCTGATATCACTCTCCCTGCTGCCGATGCTAGGAGCTTGCAGTTATGGTCGGAGATGAAGCGGCGAAGGATATCATGGAGTTGGACCCAAACTTTTTGGTGCCAAATATTTGATTTCTCACCCAGTCGGGAGTCTTGCCAAGGTTCTACCATCATCCAGCTAGATCTAATAAACCATGGACCTCCTTCCAAAACTCTCTGCATGTCTTCTATACCTTCAAAGACGAACTTCCATCCACCGCTGTCATCATGTCCCACTTTAACAGGCTTCTGGGCGTCCGGGCGTGCTTAACAAACGTTCGCACGTTGTTGATGGAAGCTTGGATTCTTGGAAATATTTGGCCCCATAAAGTTCTGGCAATGATCTCTTCAGCCTCTGCAACTGGTTCCACTGAGATTTCAATGAAGGAACCTGCAACTTTTGCATGTTTAGCGAGGTGTTCCCCAAGTTCTGCAATCTGTTTCATTATTGAACTATGTTGGGGTGGATCACCTTCCTCCATCTTTTGCAGAAGGGAGGGAGAGGGGATGGGCTTAATGGACAAGCTGGCAAGCTAGGCGGTCGTCAAAAGGGAGTAAAGAACCTACTCAGAGCAGCAAGGCGGCTCGGTATTAAATGTTCACCATGATGGGGGAAGGTTTCACAGCAGAGAGGAAGAGACACAACTTTTAAGATTACTTTCTCATGTTAAGTTTTAAAAGAGAAATGCGAAGTCATTTGACCAGTTTCTTTGAAGCGATCAACGTTCTGTGGATTTCCCGCCCCGTCTACCCACATTTCATCCTCATATATAGTAGTATTTTGTACGGGAAATGTTTCCTTCTGTCCAATTTTGGGCCCCAAACCGGAGAACTGTAATGACCCTACTGGAATGCTATTTTGTTTGTTCTTTCAAGCGAACACTATAGCATAAATATGGGTTAGAGAGTCAATATTGTTCGCAGGTGAGAGATCATTTGAATACCCGATTCTCTGACCCATTTTGTTTAAATGTCAACCTAATAATAACCTAATCAATTTAATTAACCTAATTGACATAATGAAACTATGTAACCAAATTAGATTAATTAATCTAATTAATTTGAATCTTCAAATATGTCATTATTGACTTATACTATGATTTCTTTCTATTATTTTTTGGTGTGAATATTGCAAACCTTTTTAATCCCTTTTTATCATTGATTATCAAAAAAAATCCTTTTCATTAATTATCAGGTTTTCCCGAACATCACATAGCCCCCTAGTATGAAAATATAGCAGGTATATCATGAAAAAAATTAGGTATTAGACGGACGATAATTGGGTCAGGACCAGTTTTGGTTGGTTATAGTGTTACGCCAACTATAGCCCTATTTTCAGTGCTACGTAGGATTATTGTCTTTACTAAGAGCCCGTTTGGGGTGCATTGTATTAATTGATTTGTCTTCATATTTGAGCAGTGGTTTAGGCATTTAGAAAGCCTATATTGATTTTCCAGAATTTTACCAAACAAAGCTTTTGATGTTTCCATATGAATCCAGCTCGAAACGCCAGAAGCCACATCCCATTCCCAAAAGTCCTCCCTAACGGGCATTTCTATTTATCATCAGCTTAAAGCATAAGCAATTTTAGTTTTATCATGTCAACAAATAATATAACAAACCCGATGTTGCTATGATGCTATCCATGACAAAATCATATTATACCTTTTTTTTTTTTTTTTTTGAAACAAATATTATACCTTGTTTTAAGAACAAAATCATAAATAAAATATATGCAGATCACACAAGGAAAAAAGAAGAAAGCTAAAGACAAGAAAGTATATCTCCTTAAGGCATCTTCATTTAAGAGAGCTAATTAATCAGTTTTGCAAGTTATCGCTTTAATTTCCACTAATACCTTTGTCTGTGGATTCTCAATTTGGATTGCTTTCAAAATTGCCCATATAAGGCTTCCCGCTTTGCTTAAACAAACTACAAAATCATGCCTATTCACACAAACTTGCCCCTAATACCTATTCCCGCTTTATTTATGAATGCATATTTTCATCTTTACAGTTGAGCAATCCCAAATGCCAACAACACACATCTTAAAATTTATATGGTCAAGGAGATTCACCTTATTGCTTATTCAGGAGAACTACTTAGAGAGAAAATTGTAAAAATGATTTTATTTTACAAAACATTAATACAAGATAAAGTTGGTCATATATTTTTTTTATGGATTCCACTCCCATCTAAGGTTATAAGGCCAAAAGGAGGAGTTGTTTGTGGAAGCTAATTGTTTGACTATTGACCATTTATTTGTTAGGTGTATACTGGCTCAATCTATATTTGGCCCATAGATTTAAAAGTTTCTCATGTTTCATGGAATATGTTGCAACCTCCCTTTAATGGTGTACATTTAAAACCTCAGCTGCATAGCTGCTCGGCATTTATGCACCCCTTTGTTTGAACCTCAACTCTCCAGCTTGCTCCTCTCCCGGTAGTGGATGAAAGTGCAAAATGGAAGGTGAAACAGAAGAGATCGTTGCCTCAGACAACTCCATGCAGAAGCAAATAACAGACCTTGGAGAAGAACTCGCACGACATGCGCGAGTCGCAGGGTCCTTTATCGAGATTCTAGTGGAACCAGTAACGGAAGCAGAAGAGATTATTGCAAGAACACTTCGGGGAAGGATTCCCCAGGATACAAGCGGCCATAGAGAATGTACGGATGTTTGTCAAGCATGCCCGGAACCCCGACGTCCAGTAAAAATTGGACATGACGACAGTGGGGGTGGGAGTTTACCTTTGACAGTCCTAAGGATATGCAGAGAGTACTTGAGGGGGGCCCGTGGTTCATCCACTCTAGTTGGATGATGGTAGAAGCCTAGTGGGACTCTCGCCCAGGAGAAAAATCGAAGATCTGGCACCAAAAGGTATGGGTTCTACTTCATGATATGCCGAGAAGATTTATTTCCGACCACAACTGCAAGCTTCATGCCTCGGCGGCCAGTAGAGTCCTCTCGGACAATGATGAGATCCAGAATGGCACCCCGACCAGGGGGAAGATGATTAGGCTCAAGCTAGAGATAGACCTCTGGAAGCCTCTGTTTAGGGGTTTGGTGCTGAGAAATGGTGAGGAACTAACCTGGGTTCGCTTCGCCTATGAGTGTCTAACAAAGCTCTGTGCCTACTACGGGTTGGTTGGGCACTCTTGGAGGAAATGTCGCCAAATCCCAGTGGAGCAACCTTTGGACCAAGTGCAGAGGGGAGCTCGACGACAGGAGCCTTGACTCCCCAGGAGAATGGCTTAGAGCGGAATTCAAATCTGAGAAGCCTCTCAAGTACCCAGAATTCAAGAAAGACAACTCTCCATGCAAACAACTGACACTGGTAAGAAGGGACTGTAGCTCGGATGAAGACTCAGAAGAGGAAAATGGCGCGGAGAAGAAGAAAAAGCTGACCCAGGGAGAACCACAAGCTATTAGGAGTTCGGCGAAAGACAAAGCAAAGTTGCAGTGTTCTCAGGCGACTGGGGAAGACAAGGGCGAGTCATCCAACTCAAAGAGGAAGAGGAACGAGTCAACTCACAACTCAACTCGGAAGAAAGGCAAGTTTAATCCTCGGGATTACCTGAATCAGAAGCTGTCAGAAAAGTCAAACTCAGGAGTATGTGTGTATTCTACCCTTTCGGGGGGATTAGGTTTAATGAACCTTGAAACGGGAGCCAAGCGCAGAGGCAGTCCGTTTAAATCAGAAATATCTTTAAAAGATCACCTGCAGAGTCAATCTTCTATTGTAGCCCCCTCAGAAATTGTGTTTCCCCCTTCCCCGATGATAAGTTATCAACCTATTCATCAGACGACTCCGGCTCGGATAGCGGATCTAAATCAAATGTGTGATCTGAACCAAGATGTGGAACCGACCCAAGATTCGAACCAGAATATAGGAGTTACTGCTAACTGGTCTAGCCCAAACCGAATGGGCTCGAACCGGGCATGGAATCAGAACCGGATTTGTTGATTTAACCGAAGTTGTGGCCTAAACTAGGCAAATTCTTTTTCGAGCCTAGAGTCCCTAGACAAGCTGGAGAGTTCTGATTGGTGGACAAACTGGGAGGAGTTTCCAAATGCCGAGCATCAACTTGCGGCACTTGCTCTCATCATTATACATGTATTTGATATCTTATACACCATATACTTCTCACTAACATTATCAATTTATTACACATTTTTTTCTCTACATCTCTTGCAATTCCTATCCTTTCTACTTTTATCTCTATCAATCTATGCGCATTTTTGCTTGAAATATCTGGGGGAAGGAGGGAGGGAATCTCAGCACTCGATTAGGAACCTACTCCAAACCCACAACCCGGACTCGATTATGATACTGCACTAGGTGTCGGATTGGGCTGTCTTTGATATACCAATCAGTGAGAT